TTAATAATAGTTAATAAGTTATTGTTTTATTGTTCATAATATCTTTTATTTGTTATTGAAATGGTAATTAACTAATTAATAAATGGAATGAGTTATCTATAATTACTTAATTAGTCCATGATTTATTATATTACTTCTCATATAAGAATTAGGTAATGATTAATTTCCTAATTAATTTAGTATCTTAATTTTATTATCATTTATTATGTAAGCAATTAGAATAAAAAAAATTCTTATTATATTTAGTTTTCTTTTAGCAAAAGCAATTAATTAATAACCCAACAGTATAATTAATTTTTAACTCTAATTTACTAATCCAACGTTCTATGACCACATACACAAACTCTTTATATTAGTAATAACTAATGTCTTAGTTGACTAGTAAATTATTAATTAGTCTAATTAATTATTTTAGTTTAGCCACTAGTTTTTTTATTGTATATCTCCTAATCAATTTTTCCTTAATCTTGTATTGGTTTATTTAATTACTTTTATATTTATTTTTATGCATATAATTATAAGAAACTATTTTAATGACTTTTATATTTACTTTTATATTTTCTAGTCAACTAATGTCTTAGTTGACTAGTAAATTATTAATTAGTCTAATTAATTATTTTAGTTTAGCCACTAGTGTTTTTATTGTATATCTCTTAATCAATTTTCCTTAATCTTGTATTGGTTTATTTAATTAATTTTATATTTATTTTTATGTATATAATTATAAGAAACTATTTTATGTAAACTTGATTGATTATTTCCTGACCTATTTTATGTTCTTGTATTAATTTATATTTAATTTATGCACTTCAAGATATTGCTTATTAAAGAAGCGCAATTTTTGCTCTGCTAGGATTTTTTTGCGCCCTAATTGCTCTTCCCTTCCTCATCGTTTAGGAGGCCTCCGACGTTTGGTTCCTCCTCAGTGAAGTTCGCTTTTCCATTTCCTAGTCCTTTTCTGTGTCGTTCTACTTTTTCTTCATTTGATTTTCTCTTTTTGCGGTAAATGTCGGTTAATCACTTAAAAGACCTTGGTTTTTTAATGGAAATGTTCTTCTTGTTCATTTAAAGATGCTTTTTCTGGTGCTTCTCAATGTTCAGTATCTTTCCCTTACCTTAAAATTTCTGCTCACCTTAGGTTGCCGGCTTTATGGATTTCAGAAGAGGAAATACATGCGCTTGTTGTCCCCTTTGAGTTTGCGCTGGTTGAAAATTTCAAACCTTAGACCTTCCATTGAAGCTATCAGAAAAAAAAAATCAATCTTAAATTTATTAGGTTGTGTTTGGTTACTGTCCTCAACCGTAGTCATGCTTTGATTAAGCTCGTTAATGACTTAGACTATTATAGAGTCTTTGCTCATCGTTCTTACTTTGTGAACAACTATTTTATGAAATTGGTTAAATGGACTCCAACTTTTGATATGGAAGTTGAATCACCTATCATTTCTATTTGGGTTTCATTTCTCAACCTTCGACCTCACCTATTCTCTCGACAAATCCTTCATGGTCTTGGTTTCATTTTCAGCCGATAATGCTACTTCAACTAGTTTTCAGCCATGAGTCGCGCTCATGTCCTAGTGGAGTTAGATGTTACCAAATAATTTTTTGATAAAGTATGGGTTGGCGCCGAAAACTTGGGTTACATTCAATTTGTGGTTATGTAGGATTTCCCTTCTTATTTTATTCACAGCAACTCGTTAGGTTATTCGAAAGTGGAATGCTACATTTTACATCCCTATCTCAATATTTCTCCTACGGTTAAACCCCCAACGTCAATTAATGTGGGTGTTAAGCCCTCTATTGGCAATTAAGAAAATTTGCAATGTAATGTTGTTGATGGTGTTTTTCTTGCTGATATGGAAGTTAAAATTGTTGGTGATGTTGGGCTTCCCTTGGTTGTTAGTGATGTTGGACTTTCATTTGAGCCCGTGGTGTTGGCCTCTGATGCGCCTGTGGTTCTGGATGCGGATGCCCATGTCTCAAAGAATTTGAATTATGTTAATGCTAATATACGTGGTTTAGAGGCTGTTGATCTTGTTGTCACTATCTCTGATAATCAGTGTACTTCTCTTGGTGAGGATTTGGTTTGTCATGTGCAAGAGGCTTGTGAGGATATTTCTCCAGCTAATGTTGCGAAGGATCCATTATGTATAGCTCCTAGTTTCTATCATGACATGGATGTGGTTAGCATGGGGTTGTGTAATGTTAACATCATGGTAATGAATGATTCATTTAGTAGTTTACATGTTGCTTCTAATGGACCTTCCTTGCGTACTTCTTTCTTGATAGATTATGAAGGAACGATGACATTTGTGGATTTCCCTATTTTCTAATGGACCTTCCTTGCATACTTCTTTCTTGATAGATTATGAAGGAACGAGACATTTGAAAGCTCATTTGGCTTTGAATTTGTATGATTCTTATGTGAATCAATCCAATGGCTTGATGAGTCCTTAGGCTCGCCTGGTGGGGGTGAGGGGGATGAATTGGATGGGCCCAAGGAGGAGTTTAATGCAATGTTTTAATTTGAATGTGAATCACATTGTTGAAAAGGCCTTCTTCCATGGGGTGGCAAACATCGTAGGCGTAAACCCAAAAGGAAGTAACTCTTATTGTTCTAGTTTTTTCTGGATCTGGTTGTAGTTTATCTTTGGTGGGTTATGTGTGTTTTTTGGCCCTGCTGTGATGCTCTGTGTTCTGCTTTGGTGGGATTCTATTTGCACTTATGGCCATTGGGGGTTTTGGGTTGGCTGTTATTCTGAGTCTTTCTAATGTGGATGTATCTCTTGCTATTGTGTTTCTTTTCATCTGTTGTTGCTTGTTTTGTGTTTGGGTCTTCTGTACCCATTAAGGGTTTAGGCTGGTGACTGGTTGTAAGTTTATTGGTAGCTGGTTGTTGGGCTCTGGTTGGCTCTTTTGTGCCCGTTGGGCGGTTCCTTTGGTTGATGGTTTGGTTGTGGGGCCTATTAGTGGCTGGTTGTGGGGCTTTGCTAGGCCCTCCTATGCCTAGTTGTGAGTTCTCTTGGTGGATGGTTGTTTCTGGTTCTATTAGTTGGCTTGTGGCATTGTGTTGTTGGGGTCTGTGCAGTGGTGCCGAGTTTGCTCCTTTTGTTTTATCATGTTCTTTGTTCTCTTGTTTTTTCCTTACTGCAAGTTGTTGTAATTGGACCTCTCGAGGTGTTGGCAACTAGGCATTGGCTTCTTAATATTTTTCTTTCTTGGGTGCCTCGCTCTGTGGTCCGGGCTTTCTGCTTTGTGGTTTTTTTTCTTTTTGTTTGATTGTGTAATTTGATTGGATCTATGAATTCTAGGTTTTGCTTTAAATGTTGTATTTTTAGATGGCTTTGAATTCTTTAAGGACTTGTATCAATTATTTTTATTAACATGTAGGCCCATTCTAATGGGTTTTTATGATATATATATATATATAATTTATGCAGCTTTAAATTATGTAAATCATCAAAGATATAAAAAAGAACTTTAATGCTATTTTTCATATTAAAAAACACGATAATAACAACAACAAACATTATCCAACTACATAGGGTTAATTACATAAATCTTTTTGTTTTAAATATATTTATGTCCGATTAATAGTCAAATTCTCATTTAAATATAATAAAAAGATAATTTATAATACTTTCGATCCAAGTCTTTTTAAGTCTACCACTATTTTTTGCAATATAAACGGAATGTAATACGTCTACTCTCCAAATAAAATAATCTAAAGGCCCACAATTTATATAACCAAACCATCTAAGACAACTCTAACTACTCTTATTTACCACTGGAGCTACTCCAACCGTCTCAAGTCTATACCCATTTTAGATTCTATCTTTAATTGTAAAATCACACATCCACCTAAACATATTCATCTTTGCAACACTTAATTTCATGCTTCTCTTTTCATAGCCAACTTAATATATATCCAAAAATTCTTTCTTTCCGGCCAAAACACTCATTAATACGCCCCCCTATATTAATCTTAGGCTTTGTTTGGAACAATTTTCTGATGCAAAAATTTTTATAATAAAATATTACTTTAAAATGCAGTGAAAAAACAATTCCAAACGAAGCCTTAATCTGTCACTTCTAATTCTCAAATTATTTTAAGCAGAACACCCAATATCTAAATATAAATTGCAGAATATTAAACTTATCATTTGCAAAAATACATTTTACAACTTCTGAACTCCAAACAAGAAATGAGAATCAAGGCATCAATCATTTAGGCCTCTCATGGCCAAGTCATAGCTTGATGATGCCATCATTATATTTTTCATTTTACTAAAGTGCTACTTCAAAGATAAGCATATAATATAACTCTGATTCTTATCTTTTAAGCAAAAAATAAGTCATAATAAACTCATAAAGCATTTCTTGACAAAACAATCAAAAACATTTAACAACATCAGCTGAAAAGCATATTCCTTAGTTCACAGAAAATGGTCACATATTAGAAGACTTTGACTTCATTTAGGATCATTTTTTACTGCTTCTTACAACAATTTTTCAGAACTAAAAAAACTACTTAAGAAACAATAAATAAAACAATCTCAAATGAAGCCTTAAGGAAACTAGCCCTAATCTGAATTAATTATTCTGTGCAGACACCAAATGTTGTCCGGTGACAACCCAGAATGCGTCACGTCACCCCTATGCTCGATACTACGGTTTGGTACTGTAGCTCAATACCACTACGTTATACATTCTGGGTGATCTCTAAACAACGTTCTACGTCCAGTCTTCGCACAGAATAATTTCTGCCTTTTATCTTACCCCTCTTTTCTATGATCCTAATCTTAGTATTCTGCTTTTAATTGATAAAATATTCAGGGTAGATTTTGCGACAGCGCTTACAGAAAACTCACTTTAAACAATTAGCAATAACATCTTAATATATTTGATCAAATAATGCTGCGCTTCGGCAACTACAAGCAATTTTAAATCACAGCTTTTCATTGGATTTCAAATATTCAATAGCATAGCCAAACAGGCCATTTGCATGAGAAAAAAAATTACTCCATTAACTGAGTTAAATGTTACAGGTAGAGAGATTCATGCTAGATCCCCATTGGAGCTGATGGATTTGGGAAAACATATATACATAATTCATGCAGCTTTTAAGTTACAAAGTGAATAAGGCCGTGAAAGCTTTAGAGGCCTCCAAAAAGACCGAAAAGATTCAAAATAAGTAAAATTCTATCATCAGCTCCAAAATTTTACCCTTTTTATTTTCTTTTGGATGTCCCTATGATCTCTTCTGTTCTAACAAAATCAAACTATTGAGGGCTTTCAGATCTCACCATGATAAGATCTGTATACATCTCTGACTGAAGCTTCCTAATAATCATCATCTTCCTCGTTCTGAGTGCTTCTGCCATTGCCTCTAGTTTCCTCATCACTTCCAGCAGAGTTCCTGTAACCATTAGGGGTGGGATTGCGAATTCGCTCTGCTGGTTCATCCTCTTCATCTGATTCTGACCACGCCTTTCGCTTTCTAATTATCGCGGAATATCCCTGAATATAGGACGAGAAAACTACTCCATTAATTTGTTCACTGCTAGATATTTGAACTGCCATGCATTGATAATTAAATTCCAGTACACCAACAAATTTGCAGCAGACATCAGATGAGGTTTGAGTCATTTGTGCAAGCAATATGGCATGAAAAATGTGCTTTTTATTGATAGAGGGATTCTTCTTCAACTTTGGGTATGCATGGAGAAGGGTGTGTTGAAATGGTGAGAAAACGACCAATCAATATAAAAATGCTGGAATGCTTCGAGTTTGGTATTGGTATGTACGAGTAATGCAAAATTTATTTCATTTTTTACGACCATAGGTTGAAAAAAGATGAAGAGAAACAAAATTCTTTGGTTAATGGCTCGAGTTCTTGTATTAAGAACCATAGGGGCTGTTTGGTAGCAGGATTAGGCCCGATTTGAGGCGGATTGAGCGAAATCCAGCCAAACGGCCTAAAATGCAAAACCAAATCTCACGGCGAACGAAATCCGCAGTAGACGGAAAATTCCGCCAATTTTCTCTAAATCCCGGATTTCTGAAATCATGTATTTTGCCAGATTTACGAAATCCATGGCGCTAGAAGAAGAGTCCGTTGGGTAAATCCTGCTCTATAGCCAAACAGTCAAATGAGATTTAAGAGGGTTTATCATGAATGTTACCAAACAGTTTTCAGAATTTAAGCCACTCAGGATTTCCGTAATCCGGATTTAGAGAATTTACGAAATCCAACTTAAGTCAAATTCGGGGTGCTACCAAACAGCCCCATAGGATGGGCCGCCATAAATGCTAAAAAGGAATAAAAATGATGTGCCAGATAGGATAATGTAACGTCAAGCAATGCTGCAGAGAAAACTGGAAAATTCATATTACCATATCATCTTCAGCGTCAGAATCTTCGAGACCAAGATGGGCATTTGCTCTATCTGCCTCTTCAACTTGACTATTCATCTGCTTTGCCTCTGCTTCGTCCATTTCTTCTTGCTCATCCTCTATATCTGCTTCTTGTTCATAATGATCCTTCCTCTTATCCTTCTTTCTCCTTTTCCCACCTTTCCTTCTCTTCCTTTCTCCATTTCCACCATCGTCATCTTCAAAGTGTGACCTATCTTTGCGCTTACCACCAGAGGTGCTGTAATTTTTCCATTGCTCCTAAAAATAGATAAGAATTATGAGAAAAATCCATCATGAAAGATCATTACCTTGCTCATATTCTTGTGTAAGCATGAAGAAATTTTCATAAAAAGCCCCCATATGAACTGCAATGATTTGAAGAGAAGAATTCAGGTGTTTTTTACCAGGCGGTTGCATCTTTTAAATACTAGCTCTTAGAGCATAAGAAAATTTAAAATTAGACAAAAATATAATCTAAAACTTTGTTTGGGACAGCTTTCTTACCGCTTTCTAAAATAACGTTTTAGTACAAATATTTTAATTTTAGTAATACAAAGCTGTTTTAAGAAACGGTAAGAAAGTCATCCCAAATGAAGCCTAAGATAAAAAGTTGGAAGCCTTCCATCCAACTACTTTCCTGCGCTGATCTCTTCATTTTATTTGCTCTCTATGCCCTTTCAAAAATGATGTAATAAGTGCACATCATTCCCTCCGTTGCAGAGTCTAGGTAGAGTTAATGCAAGCTCCAGCTATTCTCGCAATTCAGACCAGTGATCCGAATGCCACAAGGGATGAAACATAATTGTCGCACAAAGGTTCACCCTCTCTTTGTTGCAGTGAAATGTTCTCGTGCAAATCAAAGCAAAAAACATGGTTAATAATGAAGGGATAAAGGAGGAAGATGACCAAGCATAAGCATCACATTCCTTGTAAATTAGGTAAAGCTTCAATTTAACTGTGTTCACAAAAAACATGAGAAGCAAACATTACCCATTTATCTTTCTTAGAGCTATCACACTCTAGCAGACCTGCTAGTAAATCAGTTTCTCATCTTAATTTTTTTTTGAAATAACAAGAAAACAGTATTCAAGCAAAAGAGTGGCAACAATTTGAAACTCGTAGTAAAAAAGCTGCCCAAAATAAACCCAAACGTGGAAAGGATTCACAGCCCAGTGGTTAGAAAAGGTTGTTTCTCCAAGGACACGAGTTCAATTCACACACACTACAATTTATTGCACACCACTCCCAACAAAATAGTTACATTGTTTTTCTCTAATCCTGTATCCTTATCTATAATTTTACTTGGGAAGGGTTCTCCATATTTTCCATAAAATAAAAAATTGTCACAACCAGAATAAACAAAAAGAAATCAAAGAGTCAAAAATGAAAAAGAAAATAAATGTCAACAATTGTAAGACGGATTATTATAGTACAACAGTTACTATTAGCATTGCTTATAGATACAAGAGACAATTACCACCACAATGAAGACATCAAACTTTAAAACAGATAAACTGCAATTTAACTACTAAAATTTAAGCTGATATAAGAACGCTAACCTTTATACGCTCAAAATTTTCCTCCTGTTGTATTACTCGTTTTAGCTCATCCTCTTGTTTTCTCCGTTCCAACTGCTTAGGACAAACTGGATCAACTCTCCGTGACAACTTTCTAAAAATAAGAATTATCTTCCAGTTGGAAAATACCTGATACTTCCTCTGTTCGTCAGCTTTTCGTCGAGCTTCCTCTGCCAAGGAATCCTGACGAACAGCTTCCAACTTCAGGCGGTTCTGTTGCTCTTCACGTTCAGCCGCCTCACAGTGTACCTTAGCAGCATCAAGCAAATGCTTACAATACTCTACATGAGTCCGTATCTTCTTCTCATCGAATCCATGAGAATGGTAGCTAGAAGCTGCAGAAAGCTGACTGAACACACGGACTGCGTTCTTCAAATCTGTGACTGTGGCACGGACCTGTTTTTAGAAGCAAAATAGTTATAAATAAATCCTTAAGCAATCTAAAAACATTAACAGCTTCAAAAATTTATGATGAATTCATAAATAACATTTAACTTTGAAAAATATCGTTGAGGGGTGAAGCAATTAAGTGAGCATCTCAGAGGAACCCAGGTAAAATTTAGCCTTCGTTTATGTAGCAATAAAGATGCGTCATATTTAAAAATAAGCTGAATACGTGAATTTTACTGATAGAAAAAATCAGAGATATTTTGCAAACCCTCAAACATAGTTCAAAATGTGCATCTTTTCCAATAAAAAAAAGTATAACAAAAGTGAAAATCATTGACAAGTTGAAGCAAGTTCCCTCTTCCCCATAATGGCCATTGGCCGGTCATAGTAAGCCATTGGGATGGCTCTCGTCTTCGCTCCTACTCACCGGGATGATTAGCATCCTTCAAGTATCAAGGTGTTCTCAAGTCTTCTGTATCTGAGCCAATGATAGTGATTCATAAGCATTCAATCTTTTATTTGCCAATGATTCCTCAACCCTTTTGATCCGTTTGATATCTGTCTCTTTAATTGTTCATTTTTTGAGATTTATAATTTATGATTTTGTATGAACATAATTTCATTGTTCATTAATTGGCAAGATTTTATCCAATAACCAACCCTACCACCTCCACCAAAATCAATGCCCCCCAATTGATGGGGACATCAGCAGCGATTTCGACACATGTACCTCATGGAGATGCCGGAGATCGACGTCCACGATCATGATCTGTATTTTCATCATTTTATGTAGTAATTTATTTTATTTTATGTTTTTCCATTTTTGCCCTTATGGGTATTTGGTAGCTATTGTAGTCCAAGGGGCATTCTAGTATTTTACTTTCTTTGTCATTTTGAGACCTATTTATATGGCCATTTTCTCATGTAATAGTTAGTTTTGATGAATGAAAATTTGATATTTCATGTTCTCTTTGTGAGTGCAAACCTCCACGATCTCTTAGTGAGTTCGTAGGAGAAGCTAGATCTCTTTGTGAGTTCTAGGTTTCTTCTTGTTCTTCTATTTTTCCTTATCCCTCTTGATCTCGTCATCGTCACGAAGGTTTGGGTGGAAGCAATTGTGGAAGATTGGAATTCACTCCTTGAATCCCGAGATATTTTTTACCTCTTCCTCCCTTTGCTCTTGCCGCCGCCTATTCCAAGCAGCACAAATCCGCCCCCCCTAATTTAGAATATAAATTTTACATCAAAATATTCTTATTAAATTTTAATAATAAATTAATAATAACATTTTTAAAAAATTAAATTAGATTTAATATGTGAATTATAATAAATTAATTTTATTTTTTTTATTTCAAAAGAAATCCTAAAATTTAAATTTTAGCTAAATCTGTCCATTTGAATTTTATAGTTTTGAATATGCTTACTAATTTAATAAATCTTATTACTTAAAGAATTGGCCAATGTCTATATTAAAATTTTGAATAATCATATTTATTATTTTAATACTTATATTCAAAATATTAAAATTACATCCAATATTTTACTAATTACATTCAAGATGATAATAATCAAATTTAGACTAAAAAAACTATCTGCTCGATGAAATTAAAAAAAATTAATAATAAGCCATAGGATTTTAAAAATTTTCATCCCAATTATTAAATAGTTATTTCACTTGTTTTTTTTAAGAACTTATTTATATTGGGACAAAGATTTGGCTAATTTCTTTTCTGCCTGCTTCCCTTTCCTCGCCTTAATTGCTCTTTATTGGGGAAAGAAATATTTTATGCGGATGCAAAATGTCGTTCGGATATCAATAAGAATGTGTTACATCATCCCTAATGCATTCTGGTAATATAATTGCTCTGTACTGCTCGGTACCGCTGATGTGATTGCACCTAATTCGACTCCGAACGTAGAGCTACATCCGACGTCCACACAGAATAATTTCTCCTATTGGATAGCCTATTGCTCATCTCTCACTCTCAACCAATGTGTACTTCTTTTTTGTTTCTAATTTGGATATTTATAATTTCTAATATTTTTTTTTTCTTAATCATTTGATGTAAGCATCAATAGGCAGATAAAATCTTCTTATCAAATGTTATTTTGTAACTCGCATTTCCGTTTAAATTCTCCGAACTCTCGTCATTAGTTCAATCGGCAATCTCCTAACCCATTAATGTTTTTTTTTTTTTTTTTAATGTGACTCTTAATCGGCCTATGTGGGAATAATTATTTTTTATATTTGATATAAAATAATATCTAAATAATTTTTGTCAATTCATATATTGAAAGTTGATAGGGTTTTCTAAGAAATTTTGTTAAGTGTAATGATATTTTATCTAATGAATTCAATTATTTTTTTATTGAGCATAATAAGTTTTAAAAATTTTAATAATTAAAATAATGTTTAGAGAATTTTATCTAAGGTCTTATTTAATGATAGTTTTCTATTCATTAATCAAAAAGTTAATGAGAAAAAATTTGAATATTTTGATTAATTAATTATAAATTATTTAGAATTTTAATTTTTTAAAATAAGTTTAATAATGGATAATGAGTTAAATTTTATTACATTCATCATGAAATAAATCATAAAATCTTAAATTTTCTCATAATAATTTTAAATTAGAATATTTTGAATTATGTTTTGCTACAAAATTAGCTGACGTATATTCTAGCCCGCAACAATAATAAATTATAAAAATAATAAAAAAATATAAGATAAATAATAAATAATCATTTGATATATATATATATATAATTTTTAAATATTTTAATAGCTTTAAATTCAAACTATTGAATTCTAATATCTTATATTAATATTTTCTAAAGAGAATTAGTTTAGTCGAGTCTAGTTCAAATTTGACTTGTTAGCTTATCAAATTCAGCTCACAAGCCATTTATTGAGTCACGCTCGAATTGGCTTGACTCAAATCTCATGACGTAGATCATAAATGCTGAAAAAACAATAATTTCATATTTTTTAATATATTTCCTCCATTTCTTTGCTCATTAATTGTAATGGTTGACTTAAGTTATATGTCCTTAATTCTAGTTTTCATTATAGGATAAATTATTACATGCGGTCATCGGGCTTTTCAAAAGTAAATCAGGATGCACCACATCGCTCAGTATATATCAAAATGATGATGTGACGTGTTCAGATTAGCCTCTAGATGATATCCGATAACTGCGCGTAATAATTTCTCCCATTATAGACAATCAATAAGGTTGGTTGGCTGTAACTATCAAATGGCTGTGTAACGATTGAGAGGATCTATGAAGTCTCATCTATTTTTCACATTGCATAATGATTTGAATACTCACTTTTTGTATGTTCCGTGTATTCGGATTTTTTGTTTTGCAATGGTATGCGTAAGGTATCTTCTTCTTTTTTTTTTTAATTAATATTTTCTAAATAAGATAGATAGATTGCTCTAATGGTTGAAAATTTTACACTCCTCTAAAAGAGTGCAGGTAAGGGTGTAAGTAAGCCAAGTAGTCTAGGGCTTGACTCGATAAATGGCTCGTGAATGAGCTTAATGAGCTAACGAATCATGCTTGAGCAAGCCCTGACTCGACCCATTAGCTTATGAACTGACTCGTTTGAAAATTATTAATATAAAATACACTTAAAATATATTGGCATTCAGAATTTTAAGTACGAAGTCGTTAAATATATTTAAAACTTATATTTCATTTTCTTATATTAAGTAATTTTTATTATTTTTCTTCTAAATTCTCATTTTTTAACACCCGTTTATTACAATAACAAATTGAATGCATAATCATTTTATTTCTTTCATAATAACAAGTCAGCTCGTGTGCCAGCTCAAACTCTAGAATAAAGCTCGGGTTCGAGCTTCCCGAGCTTGAGCTCAAACTCAATTGATTAATCAAGTTCAAACTCAAGTCATAAGTGAACTGAGCTCAACTCATCTTATTTACACACAAAGTGCAGGTTTAAAGTCATATATTTACTAAACATTTATTTGTAGCATTTCGACTTCGTTTGGGACAGTTTTTTTACTCCTTTCTAATGCAGCTTTCTAGTATAAAAATATATAGCTCAAAAAAATTTTATCCCAAAGAAAATTTTAAACTAAAAAATAGCTTCAGAAAGCAATAAAAAAGATATGTTCAAATATTTCTGTTGTACATCTACTTTGTACAACTTGTACATAGCCTATGTACAAGAAAAATGTTTACACATGCCTGTGTACAAGGGGACTTGTATACTATGTACAAGAAACTTCGAGAAGGTAGAAGCAAACGAAGCTTTGGTGCAACTTTTGCAGCATGAAGCATACTAGCCAAATTATGTTGCAATATCACTTGGCTGGAAATTAAGAAACAATATAGAAATTTTATACACCATTTATAGATAACACCAAATAGATTATGTGACTTTGCCTTCCATGCCTTCAACAAATACATAGATACAATGCTTTCAAAAAAAAAAAAAAAATCCAAAAATCATCTTTAATCAAACAAAAAAACTCATTTTTTCACTCAAAAATACAGTAAGACCCAAACATAAATTAATTATTCTACAATAGAACTCTACTTCTCCAAACGAGGTATATGCTACTTAGCCCTTCATTTCTTCTCTTTTCAAATTAAGTGATAAAATGACATATTGATCAAACTTATTCGGGCCTTAAATCAAACTTTCTGAATCTTGCTACTGAATATTGCCTAAAGAGGATGAATAGAGCGATGCAAGACATATCTCTTTCGAAGATGAACAACTCCTGAGGGAAATGACAGATCGATTATTTCCTTGTTCGAAGATGAAGAGCGTCTAAAGGAGAAGAGATTTAGAAGATGAAGAGCGCCTAAAGAAGACGACGAGAGCAACCCTAAAATAATGCACAATGAATATCAACTTTTCAAATTTCAAACCCTAAACAATAAACCCGGCCTTTGGTGAACGGACAAGATAGTAGGACAACCATTTTCCTTTTTTCAAAATGTTTTGTGGGTCTAGGCTTGATTGTCAGCTCACGAGTTATAAAAAATGTATTTTAAAAATTTACGTGTATAATTCACATGTCATAATGTTATTGAATTCGAACTCTACACATAATAATTTCGCCTCTAACCAGAGCTATCATGACCACCAATTTTTCTTTCTGCACAATATAATATATTTCGAACTGCACACTCCAACATTGCTTCATAATAATTTCACATATATTAATGCCCATGCAGGATGCCAACTCCTCACAAACAATAGCAATAATATCTGCATGTTCAAAATATATTCAGTGGACGTAATGAAAGCCACGCGAGCGGCCATTATTTCTTCTGCAACCTGCAACTGGCTTTATTATTGCAACCAACGGTGAGAATGATTGAACTTATATGAGTCAGAGTTTCTTCTCGCCAATACTGACAATCTAACAGACACAGATGCAGACGTTGATGAAGAGTATACAATGTGTATTTCAATATTAATTTCCTTATCCGTATATATATAATTTCCTTCATCTTCTTCTTCTCATTATTGATAGCGCTTGGCCTACCCTTCCATTTTCTTAATTCTAGTTTCCATTGTCGACAATAATGTTGGTTGGCTGTAGCGTGTGCTGGAGAGTGGAACAGTGAAGCAGACTGACTGACTGAGGGAGCTTATTAGGTGTCATCTATCTTCAAGAAAAATACAAATCAGATTAAAATATTTTAATAAAAATTTATGAGTTTTGAAATGAAAAAAAATTAAGATATCTTAGATCTTCTCCGATCGAAAAGCTCATTTTATACTCCAAAATACAATAATATTCTAAAATTCAGTAATTTTTCTTTACCGAACTCCATTTTTAACATCAAAAAAGAATATACCAGGTATATTCTTCTCCAACAGGAAGGAATGAAGAAAACACGGTGTGTGTGAACAGTGCGACGCTAATATTGGTGTCACACTGTTCACCTCACTCAAACTGGTGCTGAATATCTGGCGTTCGGTTGGAGCTCTGCGGCCACTGTAAACACTCATTTGAGATTCGATTGGAGATATTCCCTCAATAAAAATTGTATTATAATGTTGTATTATGATGAATTTAAAAATTATTGAATTTTCTTTAAAATTAGTGCAATTTGTACATGATCGCAAAGTCTACATAATTATTATTATTTAGGTGCATCTTTTTATTTATATAAGCTGCAAATAAAAAATCATAATAGCCGTATAATTCAAAAAATGATATAATCATTCTTCATTTTAAATGCAGTTTTAAATAAACAAAATATTCTTAGTAGCTTTATTATCTATCAAATACTAGTTTTCATTATAATAAGCTATTATAAATAAATAAAATATTAAAATTTTTTCAGACACAATTTTTTTATAACAAATAGAGAACAAAAAATAGAAAAAGAAAAAATCACCAGTAAAAAACTCATGAGAGCATTTAATTAGATTAATTAGAATTCTAAATCTATTTTTTAATATTTTAATATTAAAATATTAAAAATTAATTAATTATGAATTGATGAACCAATGCGGCCCCCACCTATATGAGACCTGGCTAACATGCAGCAAGAAATAGTTTGATCATCAGTCATTAATTTTTTCTCATGCAATATTTATAGCCTCCCATGCAATTATTTTACAAATTATCCATCTTTCGCTCATATCAATATAGAGCTCTTAGAGCTTGTTTAGGACGAATATAACTTTTTATAAAATTATTAGTGATTTTATTGTTGGTAAATTAACTTAACTGTTCTAATCGTAAAAATAATTTTCCAGTACAAAATTTTAAAAAACAGTGAGAAATCAATGAGAAAGCAGCAGTCAAACGAAGGTTTCGTTTGGGGCGGCTTTCTTGCTGTTTTTTTAAAACAATTTTTTGATATAAAAATTTTAATTTTTATACTAAAAAGTTATTTTAAGAAGCAGTAAGAAAACTGTCCCAAACTAGTCTGAAATTGTAGTTATTATCTGAAAAATAAAACTACAAGAAAGCTAACCCAAACTGATCCTAAGCTTCATTTAGGATAGCTTTCTTAAAGCTTTTTAAGGCTTCGTTTGTGACGGCTTTTTTATTGCTTTCTAAAACGGAGTTTTAAAACAAATTTTTTTATTTTTTAACTAAAACTTCGTTTTAGAAAGCAATAAAAAAGCCGTCTTAAACGAAGCCTAAAGCAACTTAAAGCTGCTTTAAGAAGCAGTAAGAAAGTCGACCCAATAGTCTGCACATTTATGTGGAAATGTTACTTTGGATGACAATCTTGATATGTTGGTTGAGAGTTTTGACATATGTGATATGCGTATGAGTTTTATTTAGACTTAGTTTGGGACAACTTTTTCAATACTTTCTAAAATAACTTTTTAGTAAAAAAATTTTAATTTTTTAATTAAAATATTATTTTAAAAAATATTAATAAAACTGTCCCAAATGAACTCTTAATTCACTCAAAAGAAATACTTTTGGAGCATTTATTAAACATTGAAGCTCCTGTTGCAATATCTATATAGAAAAAATTATTGTTTTAACTTTAAGGTGTTATTTCCCTACAAAAAATTTAAGGATCACATTATGAATTTATGATCAAGATTATAAAAATCGGATCGGTCAATACATCAAAAGAAGAAATTATCAAAGGTTCGATGGTTTGATATAGGGGTGCAAATGAGTCGAATCAAGCTCGAGTCAGCGGTTGTTCGAGCCAAGCTCGTCTGACAAATGCCGAGCTCGAGCTCGAGCTCAAACTCGAGTTGAGCTCAAAAGTCGAGTTTGAGCTTGACTCGACAAAGTAAAAAAAAGCTCGTCGAGCAGCAGTTCGAGCTCGGACGTGCCCGTGTCGTCGCCAGTTCTGCGTCGTCGCTAATGCCGCTTCGTCGCCAGTTCAGCATCGTCGCTAGCTCTGCTCATCACCAATGCCGCGTCTTCGCCAGTTCCGCCTTCCACGTCGTCATTAGCTCCGCTCGTCACCGCTAGTGTCACGTTTTGGGTCAATGTCGCGTCCATCGCCAACATTCGCGTTCGCCGCCAGCGTCCACATCCTCTTTCGACGCCGGCGTCCTCGTCCGCTTCCAAGTCGCGAGTCGAGCGCCTTGCCGCCAGCTTCTGCGTCGTCAAGCTCGCGAGTCGAGCACCAGATTTCATATTCCCGCCGCAATTTCGTTTTTCCAGCTAGCGAAACGAACTGCTCGACGAGCTCTCGAGTCGATCAACCGGCTGTTCGAGCTTGAGCTCGATAAGCTCGGCTCGTCGAGCCTGTTATCAAGTCAAGCTTGAGCCGGCTTGACTCGGTTGCACCCCTAGTTTGATAGGGTGGGATTGGGATTGAATCGGATAACATAATAAATTCTAGTTATATTAAAAAAATTATGTAATTAACATAATAATAACGCAATCATTTGTACAAATATAATAAAAAATTGAATAGAATCATTATATGAAGCATAAAATATACATAATAAATAAATCAAATAACTTTAAAATTAAACATATTCATTTTGTGAGCAACTGATCTCTTTATAGTTGTAATTTGGCCGATGGAATTTAAATATTTTGCAAAAGATCTTATAATTTCTTTCTCCAAGAATTGAAGATCTGAAAATAAAATAAAGATAAAGTAGTTATATAAAAGAAATAAGTAAAATGCATCAATAAATTTCACATGAAAATATTATAACTTATAGATCGAAAGAGCTTGTAAATTGATGAGTTTTATGTTCACACGAATAAAGCATATAGGAAAAAAATATCCGCTTGGAGCCAATATTACATATTGATTTGACTTTCTCAAAACTTTGATACTCCAAAGGTGCTAAAATTCCTTAACTATAATATAGTGGTTTAATTATATAAAAGAAGCTAAGCTCTTAAACATCAAGCGGTCTTCTGATGTAATGGTCATAAATTCTTTAAGAAACTTCGCAGTTAAGCATGCTCATCCTGTAGTAATTTTAAAATGGGTGACCTATTGGGAAGTTACACCAACATGACAAAACCGTGAGGCTCTTAGGCCAAAGCAGATAATATATCGTTAGTCAAGAGTTTGAGCGGTCATATATGGTATCAGAGCAATACACTAGCTGGAAGATGAGAACTAAGTGTCATACAAGACTAAGTGTTGCGCTATAGGAGCAACATCTTGAACACTATATAGAACAAAGTTCTATATGACGGAAGCCATCTCTTGAACCCTGTATGGGATGGAGTGCTATATGATAGGAGCTACCACTTGAACTTGTAGGGCCACCTCTAGAATCCTATCTTCCTGGTGGATGATTATGGGATAAACTCTTAAACATTAAGACGACTTTTAGTGTAATGGTTAGAATTTCATCAAGAAACTCTGTAGTTAAGTATGCTCATCTCTGAGAAATTCTGAGATGGGTGATCTACTGAGAAGTTACACCAACAGACAAAACGGTTAGACTCTTAGGCCAAAACGGATAATATCTCAATAGTTAAGAGTTTGAGTTGTTACATTTCTCTCTCTCTCTCTCTGTCACGACCCGACCCGACGGTGTGTACAGAAAATCACCTGGAGCAAAACTGGGCAAATTCTGGAGCAGATTTACAACTGATCGTCCCAGGACGATCCAGATCGTCCTGGACGATCCTGGAGCAGATTTTTGATATTACACTCTTCCTAAGCAATTTGAGCTTAATTCATTTCTCGAATAAAATATTAGATTTTGTTTGAGATAGCTTTTTACTGTTTTTTAAAACAACTTTTTAGTACCAAAATATTTTAAATTAAAATTTTTGTGCAAAAAAATTGCTTTTAAAAATAGTAAGAAATTTATTTCAAACGAAGCCTTAATATCTTTAAATATACAACTTGAATCTAATGCTAATAATATTAGTTTTTTGCTTCTATTAAAATATTTGTAAGATTACTCTTCCAGAGGAAAGATATATATAGTTATAAACAAAAACAATTCAAAAATTGATCTTTGTCCTAACTAATTAAAGAAACTCGGTTTACACCTCCAAAGGGACTTAGAGTATTCTTCTGCTTCACCCAGGAAGAAAGCCAAGATTGGCACAAAATTTTAGAACAAAAAAGTTATATACAAAATAAATGCTTTCTTTAGAACAGCTTTCTTACTACTTTCTAAAACAAATTTTTAACAAATTTTTTTTTAAATAGCAAAAAAATAGTATAAAAATTTGTCTCAAACAAAGCCTAAAATGAATCATTATGAATTTATGTGTTCATATTGACTTGTTAAACTCTTCTTCTCATTTAATAGTTTCGTAATTTTCACCTAAAATTCTCCCATTTTTTATGTTCTCATAGTCCAAAACATAATAAAAAATAAAATAAAATGCCCATATGTAGTTACATTCCATTATACCAAAGGAGGGAAGAGAAAAAGAAGCATCATGAGCTATATCCTCTACTAGAAAACTCTTTCTGATCTAATTTGAGATCTGATAAGATTCTTTATACTATGCTAAGGACTAAGGGTGTCTCTACCAACAATAACTAAGCCATTTAAAGACAATTTTCACTATATCCAAATGCAAACAAAACATCTTCTTACATCATAGAAATTGCTTGATACTCCTCTTGATTCCACAAGCTTTAATTTTTGTTAAAATTGTTAGAGAGTCCTTCAGTAGCAACACATGAAGTAAGCATGAGAGTTGATCCTTGTTAAATTGCATAGCTGAATAGTTTCATATCATACAAGTTGAATTCATCTAACCTCAAGCTCATGCTAAGAAAAGGTGTAAGTGAGTTGAGCTGGCTCAAACTTTATCAATTAATGAGTTCAGAATCAAGCCACGAGTTTGAGCTCGAGCTTATACTTGAGCTCATGTATTATATGAGCTCAAGTTCAAGTTCAGCTTGATCCCGGTTGGACCCCAGCCTTAGTAACAAAACCAACACCCAAATCACCAGACCCAGTTCCAGGAGGAATCACCGGAGACACCACCTCGACTCCGTCCCCCCCAGCATTATTACCAACAACACAGTCATTAGCCAAAACCAAATTATTCTCACAAAGGGAAACAACATTATCAACCGGGGAAGAAACAGAGTTCACAATGGGTATAGCAACAGGCTCCACCGGCGGAGGCGCAGGAAGCTTACCCGAATGCAAATTAGGCAAAAGTTTACCGCATTCCGACTTCAAATGCCCCACAGCCTTACAATGCAAACAAAAATTAGGCATGCCCTCAAAGATCACCTTTTGAATATAACCAAATTTTTCCGGCCCCAACCAAATGGACTCAGGGTGGGATTTGGAAATGTCAATTTCAACAAGAATACGAGCTACAGAGGGGCGAGAACCAACCACAGTAGCATTGTCGGTTTGAATCGGGCGACCAAAGATAGATCCTAAACCTAAAAGTATACGAGGGGAGAAAAGATGAGGACACAAACCAGGGAAGGATATCCACACAGGGACAATCGGCGATTCCTCCGATAAATCAAGAAAAGGAGACCACTTAATCACTTTCATAAAACAACCAAACACAAAATACGAACGGTGGGCAAAAATCCGTCCATAATCAAGATCATTCGAGAGTTTGATAAGCACATTCGACTGATCCAAAACAGTCACAGAGACATCACCGGATAGCTTAAGATTGAAAAAAAAATTACGGATTGAATCCAAATCCGGTCGTTTAAGGGGAAACTTTCCAACTAACGCAAAATCAAAAGGTTTAGCAAGATGTAGAAATTCCTCTTCCGAAAACCAAAGAGCAGTTAAACCACGAATCGTAGAGATACGATAATCTGGAAAAACCTTCTAGGAATCGATGCCAGATAATACCTCTTTAAACGATTTCGAGTTCTTACCCTCCAAAAAACCAGGGTCAAGCGTTTTGTTAGCCATGGACAAGCACAATAGCAGGGGATGAAGACACCGGCGGAGACGGAGAGAAAAGGCACGAAAAGGCGGCTAGGGCAAAAGCCCCAACCAGAAACCCTAGCAGACGAAAAACATAGAAAATTCATTCTTCTAGGTCTAATATCAACTTTACTTGCATCATTGCATTTCTATATAAGATTTATCCTACAATTTTCACATCAGGCTTGTGTGATTATATCATTTCATGGTAAATAAATTGCTTGGATATTAGCTAGCAAGTCTCTTAGGTGTTTATCTCTAACCAAATTACTAAAGTTTCATTTGGGATAGTTTTTTTTGTTGTTTTCTAAAGAAGCTATTTTCTAATGCAAAAATTTTTAGTTCAAAAAGTTTTTGTACTAAAAAGCTGCTTCAGAAAGCACGAAGAAAACTATCTCAAATGAAGCCTAAGACTTGAGATAAAGGGTTCGTTTGGGACGGCTTTCTTATTGCTTCTTAAAGCGGCTTTCTAGTTTAAATATTATAATTTTTGTACTGAAAAGCTTCTTTAAGAAGCAGTAAGAAAGCCGTCCCAAACGAAGCTAAAATCTATAATTTTGATTATATTTTATAATTAAGCTAACAGAGGCGTCTCTAATTACCTATTATCTTAAAGAGGTTAGCTACTTTGTAAATTGGCTTCTACAAGCTATACATATTCCTTGAGCTTCTATTTAGATGACATGAAAGGCAAAATGTCCTATGCATTAAAATGAAAAATAGAGATTTATATGAATACAAATTTTATTTATTTATGAATCACTATTTGTACTTTTAAAATCAACCATCTAATTTTTGCACGATGATAAAATCAAGCATTCAATAAATGAAGAAAATTCAAGTTAAGATTTTATTGTGGTCTTATGTATTTGAACGATATTATCATTGTTATGTGCTTTAAAATTTATGATGATAGAGAGAGATTTACGATTTAGCTTAGCATAAAGATCCAACATACTGACAGATAAAAGAAAAGAAAAAAAGCAGAAATCAAATTTTACGAGGAAAAGTCCTAAGAAAGAGAAAAAATCATGGGCCTAGCATAATTGAAAAATCCACCATATGCTTAAATTTTATTTTCTCTAAAATTGAAGAAGATGGAATTACAAAATTGAGAGCCCTTACTTGGGTCTTCTAGAGTTGCAACTAATATAGGTTGTGGGAGATATAATAGATAAATGATGATGATAGTTCGACGATGTTAGAGGGTCAACAAAATTCAGATGATGTAAGTCAAGCAACATGATGTGATTAATTGAAGACGATCAGATGATGGTAATTGAGCAATAATAGTTGAAAAAGAATAGTTTGAAGGTGTAAACATCTAATGACAATTGGGCGATAGTGGTCAAACAATGTTGATTGGACAATGGTAGCGATTGTTGACATCAAATATCAAATAGAGCTTTAGAGTTCTTCAAATCTCTAATATGAGTCTATTAATACTATTTTTAAGGCAACATTTTAGTAAATTTGGTTGAAATTTCATAACACAATTAAACAACCGATATTGATTGATTTAATTATACACTATTTATTTAGCATTTGAATGTTTTAATGAAATCAAAATTGAATGATCTTTTGACTTGTCTTATTCATATAGTCAAGAGACGTAATTTGACTATATGCACCCAAATTTTGAAGTCCGTTTGATTATTGAATGAAGGTCTCGAAGATCTTAAATATTCTTCCAAGTGCTTGTTTTCGGTTCATTTGCACTTGCATCAAATCACTTTTTTGTGTCGTTGGTTTCATCTTTTTTGAAACATCCAGCTCGACTATAAGTATACAGATCGGAATTCAGATGATCCTGAATTTAATTTCGAAAATTTTCCCATTCAAATATTACACCAGAATTTATATTTGAACGGATGAATTCCATGGTGGCATACAAATTTAAATAGCTCAATCATGAGCTAATTAGCGTAATAAATGCTGAAAAGTTAATAGGATTTACCCTCATGAAATTTGGATGGGCGTGCGCGTGGCCAAGGGGACAGGCATGCATATGCTATGGCTACTGCACTTCCTCACATGGATGGTGGGAGTCCATTCCCCTTTTCCCACCACGCTTACTTCACATGGAACCATCATGGCGACACCTACTGCATCTCTGTAATGAGGAAAGAGAGGAGACTAAAGGAAATAAAAACAATTGAAAATGATGGGGCATTTGTTTTTGTTTCTACTCTTTAGGATCTGAATGTAAAGTTCTTTGATTTGGAGTGCGATTTAGACTTCGTTCGGGACATTTTTCTTACTGCTTCTTAAAATAATTTTTTAATATTTTTTTTAATTAAAAAACTGCTTTAAGAAGCAGCAAGAAAATCATCCCAAACAAAACCTAAAGACCATCAATGGCTCACATGATATTGATATTTTAAATTGAAATGACAATTTAACTTAGCAAGTTATTAAAATATTATTTAATCATATTAATTTTTTTTTAAAAAAATATTTAATCTTGTTTGTATATTGGACTCGTCCAAAATAGTTGAAATTGGCTAAGATTGCAAAACCATACAAACATAGCTGCAAGCAAGCATGCTTAGTAAGAGAGAACTGCTCTAAGTTATTTTTGAACAATAGTATTTTTTAATGTTCAAATAATGTGGGACTAAATGAGAGGAGTTTGAAGCTCTATAAAGTGGGATGGAGTACCAATTATGGGATTGCAAGTCCTATTATTAAACTTTTGTGATCTCTTATGATCTCATAATTTGTATGATTACATTTCAACTTATATTACTAATTTTTTATAAAAATTTATTATTATTATTTGAACAAATGCTAGATCCCAATCCTAACAAACACAAAGGCTTCGTTTGGGACCGAGTTCTTACTGCTTCTTAAAGCAGCTTTTTAATATAAAATTTTTAATTTTTGTACTAGAAAGCAGCTTTAAGAAGCATTGAGAAATCTGTTTGGGATATTTTTTTAATACTTTTTAAAATAATTTTTTTAGTAAAAAAATTAAAAAAAAAACTACTTTAAGTAGTAAAAAATATGTCCCAAACAAAGCCTAAATCACAGCCCTACTTCATTCTTTGCTAGTGATAATCATGAGGTCATGAGCTCAACTCCTACTCCTTATATTATTATTTAGTTTTAATATTAATTATTACGCATGCATTTCTATTTGGTTCTTATTTTAAAGATTATCTTCTTTGGCGACTCTTCTCATTCTATACTCTTTATAAAATATAATTTTATTTTTTAAAATATTAGCTCTATGTTAGAGAGAGAGAGAGAGAGAGAGAGAGAGATCAATTGTCGGCAAGGCTGAATTGTTGGAAAGCCAGCAAAAATATAGAAAGTGGAGGTCCAGAATTCACTCTTTAAACAATTACTAGCATTAGAAGAGCGTGGCCATTGATGGGTACAAATAGAAGCTTTCATGCCTTATTTAACAATGAAGGATGATATATTTCTCATTGTTATTATGTGATAGAAATTGAGAGAGAAATAATAATAAAATTATTTATTTCATGTGGGTATAATTATAAACTAACTCATTACTCCTTGCAATGTTGCATCATAATAAAATATATCAGAACTATATAATTCCAGTACATTTGTAATGCTGTCCACTGTGGCTTCCCTTTCACAACGAAGCTGTCCTTAAATTTCATAGAGGAGAAAACCAAGAGCTGATCCTGGCCAGTGATTTGGATTAAGGGGGTCATCCAACGGTCATCCTTCTCTATCAATGGGCAATAGCGGTAAGTTTGCGATGTATTTGAAAATCGCTCAAATTTGAGAAATTTCAAATACACTAGATTTGACCTAAAGGATAAATTATATTTACTTTAAAATTTTATTATGTATTTTTTTTTTACTTAAACATTTTACTCGGCATTTTTTATGTAACTTTTTGATACAATTTTTTTTTAACTAAAATTTTTAAGCTGAAAAAAAACAGTAAAAAAAACGTCTCAAACAAAATCCAAGCCAAGCATGATTGGCATTTTGAACTAATATAAACATCAAATTTTTTCTTATACTTACCCCACGTGCGTAGGTGTGATCATGTTGCTGTTGTTAACAAAAGTAGGAATATAGCACATATATTTTATTAAAAATGTAAAATCAAACTTAAAAAAAAAAATGCAAATTGTTTTATAAAATAAAATAATAATAAATTAAAGACTTTTATTTCAACATGCAACTCACAAATACAAATACAGAAATTAAATTAAAAAAGATCAGAGATTATAAATTTATTTTAAATTTTGAAAAGAATAATTTTACAAAATAATATGCATTATTTATTTCTTTATTATTTTCATAAATAGGACATGCCAACAATCTCTCTAATCTCTAACACGTCTTCACGTCAAGATAATTATAAAATGTCAACGTGCCATGACAATTCATTTTCTATGTGGTTCAAGCCAACCTGAATTGCATTGATATTTGTTCTTTAATTGGACCTAAAGCTTCCTTTGGATGGCTTTTTTTACTGCTTCTTAAATAAGCTTTTTAGTTAAAAAAAGCTATTTTAAGAATCAGTAAGAAAGCCTTCCCAAATAAAGCCTAAGGGCATCTCCAACCGAACGGCAAACACTTGTTTGTCGTTCTTGTTTTGCTCCAACCGATCGCCATTTTTTACGCCATTTGATCGCGGATGAACAGTGCGACGCCAATATTGGCGTCGCACTGTTCACTCAAGCCATTTTTTGCTCTCAACCGGAAAAACGCGCGAAAGGGAGGGCGATCGTTACCTTCTCAAAAACACCTAAAATGACGTTCGATTGGAGCATCACCGCGCCATTTTGGAGTTTTGCGTTACTTTGTCGTGAAAAATGAAGTTTTCGGTTGGAGATGCCCTAAGGCCTCGTTTGGGGCCACTTTTTTACTGCTTCTTAAAACAATTTTTTAATACCAAAATTAAAAATTTTGTACTAAAAAGTTGTTTTAAGAAGCAACAAAAAAGTCGCTCCGAACGAAGCCTAAACCAGCTAACATAATTCTCTCTCATTAAAAAAAAAAATTGAGAACCCAACAAAACTAACAACACCTGAAACATGAGGAATTAAAAAACTCCAAACCATGAAGCTCATTTCTCCAAAATTTCTACTAAAATATTTGCAATGCTATTCCCCACACAGGAAAAATAGAACGCACCGTTCAATCCTACTTTCCTGCCGACAGTCACATGACTGCTACTTTTTGGATCCAAATTTAACGGAAAAAAAACTAAGTTAAAGACATAAATATATAAGAAAATGTGGGAGTGAAGGATCATTGAGAGAAAAATATTACTTAATATTTACTACTGGAGATCATAGAAAATAACAAGGGAGGCAAAAGTACAAAGTAGAATCAGTAACTTTACAGGAAGAGAGAGAGACACAACGACAGATAAAAAGTTCTGAAGGATTCCATTGGGAAGATGCATTCTGAAAATGGCACATAAGGCCAAGTTCAGGATGACATTTTCATTGCAGATACTGTAGACATTTGGCAAGAAAAAAGATAGAAAATTTTTACCGGATCTGAGCGCTCGAGTACAGCCGAAGGTTTGAATTATCTTCCATTTATAACTTTCCCAGAATTATTTTGTAAGCTGCATTTTTGTCTTTTTTCTTCTGGGTGTATGGTTGATGCAATGAACATTTAGTTAAGCTTTCAGGAGTCAGGAGGAAGAGCTTTGGATATATCTTTGCTTGATCTGTTATACTTCATGTGGCTCTTAACAAGCTGACCAGCTGCAAGAGCTGACATGAGGGAAAGCTCTCCGGCAAGAACAGAACCGGCGACTATGGTGGCCAGAAGCCTGGAGTTTGCGCCTGGGGAATCCGAGTTTGCGCCCTTTACACCAAGAAGATTTAAGCAGGCAGACTGGGAAGCAAGTTGCGTCCCACCACCGACTGTGCCCACCTAAAAATGAAAAAGAAAATGAAAGTAAATGAATTAATAGAAGCTTAAGGCTTCGTGCTTCGTTTGGTACGGCTTTATTTTTACTTTTTAAAGTAGCTTTTATTTTGTACTAGAAAGCTGCTTTGAGAAGTAGAAGGAAAGCCATCCCAAACGAAGCCTAAATCATAGATAGTCATGCATGACATCAAGCAGGCTTATATCTCCCTTTGAAAATGGTCTCTTCATTCGGGGCAGTTTGTTCCCTGACTCAAGTTTTGTAAACTCAATTTTCATGTTTGTTTGTTGGAGTATTAGTATGCTTCACTTTTATCAACCTTCAGATTAATATTTTTATTATTTTATCAATATTGTAGGTAAAATAATATTTTTAACCCATCACTTCAATATTACACTATTGTCATTGAAAAAAAACTGAAAATAATTATCTAATTTTCAAGATTGAAACTTTCTCGTTTATGAAGATAACAATCAAGCAAACACTTGAACTTTACTGGAGGTTCAATTACTAAACGAAAACATATAATGATACAAATTGGCTCGTAGTAAAGTAAGTGGTCAAAAACATAGACTAACCCCTAATTGACAAGAAAAAACTCAATAGTTGTCTTAAACCTACTAGCGAGAAAAAGTTAAACTAGTCTTCTGAGTTGAGGCAATTCCCAGCATCTGTGCTAGCCAATAAAAAGTTGCAGGTTTACTGATTGGACTTGCCCTATTCCCCACCACCCACCCACCCACAAGGCACAGCAAGCAGCTAGCTCCAACATCCGACAAGCAATGCCAACCACATGGTGTTAGAGTTTGGACACGGAAAAGTCCACATGGCAAGCGGAAGGAGGTTGCAGATATGATCAAAAAGGCTATTTTGAGGAGCGATTATTCTGTGCCGACACCGGGTCTACATTTTTTGGGGCGGCGTAGCTCATTTTTATTGGTCTCCGGACAAATCCGGACCCGGGCGTAAAAATTTTTCTATTTTGAGAGGAAGAAAAAAGAATATCTAAGTTGGAATATAATGGTTAGATTACCTCCAACGCAGGGTAGTGATTTGACTCACAGGAAAAGACTATAGTAATGCAGGGGTAAGGATGAGACATAAATATCAACCAAACTAAGTTGGATTTATAAATAATAGTTGTTTCAAGGATCCCACACTCTATATGCTTAAAGGATTTTCTTAGAAAATAAGAAGATTACTAATAAAAGATTACTTTTCGACAGAAGCTTGAACTCCCTAGAACTCAGTAGAATAAGCAAATCAACCCTTCTCATGCCAAGCGAGAGCACCAGATATAGGTAACATACATAGGCGTAGCCAAGCTAAGATGAGAAATACCTCAATGGAAGGCATGGTTACAGAGATGTGGAGATCATTGTTATCATTAACAGCCTCCATCATAGTGATGCAATGAGAGCTCTCCACGTTCTGTGCAGGATCCTGACCAGTGGCTATATAGATGGCAGTCACAATGTTACTGGCATGAGCATTGAAGCCACCTAGAGCTCCCGCCACAGCTGATCCAGCAAGGTTCTTAAGGGTATTGAGCTCTACTAGTGCTGGGACAGTTGTCTTGAGAACTTTCCTCACAGTCTCCTCCTTAATGATAGCCTCACAAACAACCGATTTTCCTCTACCTTCAATCCAGTTAACTGCGGCAGGCTTCTTGTCAGAGCAGAAATTTCCTGCACGGTACATTTAACTTCAAATTCTGAAACGTAGCAGACAAGTAAAAGAAGAGATTTAAGAATGTTTTTTTTTCCCGCTAAAAAAGGGGAAACCAGAGTGCATTAATTGAGTCATCTGATGCAGTTAAGAAGATTTTGATATCTCAGAAGCAGGAGAGAAATACATAGCTCTATGAATATGAATTTCACTTATAAAGGCTAACAATAAAAATGGTTTATTAGCCAACCTGAACGTCAAGAAAAATATCAAAAATAAATAGATTGAATAAACCATAAAAGAAAAATTCATATGAACGGCACTATAAAGTTAAAAAATAGATTTTGTGTTTCACCAGATTGAAAACATGTCATATTATAAATAAATTAGTACAAGAGAATGGAAATAATAATAGGTAAATCCCCATCATACGAAATTTTAATGCCAAGGAGAAGCATACAACATAAGTGGCAAGATTAAGAAAATAATGATAGTAGCCTAGTTTGATTTTGATGAGAAAAATGAGATTTCAAATTTCTTATTATATATTAAATATTTAATGATGATGATTAGTATAAGAATAGTAACAAGAGAATAAAAAAATTTAAGAGAGGATGAACTGAGACATGTCTGTCTCACCTGAGATGCTGATCACATCCATATCAGGGAAGTCATTTTGTAGCCAATCCAATACATTCTGCACGCCCTTGGAAACCATATTCATGCCCATTGCATCTCCAGTCAAGCAGCTAAATCTCATGTACAGATTCTTACCAGCTAGAGAGCACTTGATTCCTTGAAGCTTGGCAAATCTGCTAGATCTGCAATCCCAAAGGAAAAATGTATATCCTCAAAGAGTGAGTTAAGAGATCCATAATTATTAGGGAGATTTAAGGTTTGGAAGAATATGCCAAAAATTCATATTAAGTGTTTGATGCTAAGGAAATTAATGGTCAATTGGATTTATGTAAGAAATTTGAACAAAAGTATTTTTTTCATTGATAATTCTCTATCCAACCACAATGAAAAACTAGAAATATTTTCTAATCATCATCGACCCTCTCACAAAAAAAGTGGAAGAATATGCCAAAAATTCATATTAAGTGTTTGATGCTAAGGAAATTAATGGTCAATTGGATTTATGTAAGAAATTTGAACAAAAGTATTTTTTTCATTGATAATTCTCTATCCAACCACAATGAAAAACTAGAAATATTTTCTAATCATCATCGACCCTCTCCATTTTATTTTTCTGTTCATTTTTTTAATTCCTTCAGCCCAAACAAAGCCTGTGATAAAGAACACAATTTTCTTCTTCATCTTTTCAAAAATAAAAAAGCATGATAAATAGGATAAAAATGGATCAAAAGCTCCTCATAAAAAAAATTATGGACTGTAAGGCAACTATTTATAAATACCAAGAAAATATGTATATTAACTCCATGCCATTTACACAAAAAAGAAAGAAAATTTTTAGTTCTGTATAACCAAAGACCACGAGACCACCGAAATCATTATTTTCCTTCAACATATTTTAAAAAAAACATTATTATAGTTAATGAAGAAATATTTTGCTCTCAGCAATCTTTATTTCTTTCAACTATCGCAGAAATATGTGAAAAATCTAGCTAATGGTCAAAGTTTCACATCTACATAATAAAAAATCCTTCATTAAAACTCAACAGATGCAATTACAAAATCCTGAAAGTGACATTTTTAAAAGATGAAGGAAAAGGAAAGGGGGGAAAAAGACGAGCTTCTCATGTAAAAAAACACAAAATCGAGAAATACAAGATGAAAAAAGACCATTCCAATTTCCAACAAAGATCACTGATACGGAAACCAGCGCAATTAAAAATACCAACAAAAACGAGCATGCTGCAAATAACTCCATAAAAAGGATCTAATTTCTTTAAAAGCGGCATCTCCTAGTAATGAATTGGCAAAGATTTTATGCGCTGCAGCATTTAGGTAAGATTCTATCAGGCAAAATCAATCTGAAAACGCAAAAGCTGAAATAGGCTTCAGTTCATCATAATCACAGGAAAGAATGGCAAATATACCTATTGAATACAATCTCCAGCGTCTCGAAATTTCGGGGATCCTCTAGAAAGAACTTAAGCTCCGCTGCCCTCTTAGCCGTAGCGAACCTCACGACCGGAGCCCTCGTCATCCCATCCTTGAGAACAACGCACACCGCCCCATCAGACAACGCAATCGCCTTGCAGCCACGGTTCGTGCTCGCCACAAGGCAGCCCTCCGTGGTCGCCATGGGCACAAAATACTCCTTGCCGTTGAGCAACAACGGCCCTGCAATCCCTACCGGTAATTGAACATAACCAACCGGCATCTCGCAGCACTGCCCTAAAATCGAAGAATAATCGAAACCATCAAGGGGAAGCCCTTCCATTCCACGCCCCGTTAACCTACTGATCGCCTCGCGACGGATCCCCGCCGCCCGTCGGCAATCCCCAAGCTTCGCCTCAAGAACATAGGATGGGATCTTGCCGGCGACAACCGCGGAAACAATCTCCTCGTCATCTCCGAAGAGCGATTCGGCAGCGAGAGGGGATTTCTTGGAGCAGGAAAGGGGGCAGGGAGCAGGTTGATCGCTGGAAAGGAGGAAGTCGTCCTCGTCATAGTGGGAGGAAACAAAAGACTGGACATAAGCGATGCCGAAGAAGCTAATGAGGTAGACGAGCGATGCGATAAAGCCCACAATGGCTGGGATATCGGAGAGGGTGAGAGTGTGAAGAGGGGCGCCAGTGCGGATCTTCTCGCGCCACCGGCACATTAGGTAGTACATGGAGGCCATGAAGAGGACGGAGAAGAGCTTGTTAGTGTGCCGGATGGGGAGGGGCAGCGCGTCAGAAGCCTGGACTCTAGTGGAAGAGCCGGATTTCGCCGGGAACGCCCCCGCCGGTGTTAGCGACCGGTGGGGCTTGGAGAGCGCCCGGCGACGGAATTCCATGCGGAGAGCAACAGGAGGAAGAGAGAGGAGAGATTGGGGAGGAAACGACTCTCTCTCTCTCCCGTTCGAAAATATAGGGGACAATCGGGAGGTAAGGGGACGAGAAGTTTTATAGGACGAAACTCGGAGCTTCCGCGGACCAACCCTGGACGCCCTGGTGCTCCGCGGACCACCGCTAAACGCCGTCGCTTCGCCGAACCACCACCTGATGCCCTGTTCTCCGCCGGACAACCGCTACGCCATTGCTCCGCGAACCACCACATGACGCCCTGTGCTCCGTCGACCACCGCCTAACGCCGTTGCTTGCCGCCGACCACCACCTGACACCCTGTGCTCGCTGGACCACTCCTGACGCTCTGCGCTCCTCGGACACCGTCTAAGCCCCTACGCTTCGCGCGACCACCACTTGAGACCTCACTTTGCCAGACCGTCGTTAGAGGCCTCACTTGTCAGACCTCCACCGAGGCCCTCGTCTTCGCAGATATTACTAAGGCCCGAATTTATGTTAGACCATCCTCTAAGGCCCAAGCTCTGTCGACCATCACCTGACACCCGATTTCTATCGTACAATTGTTGTTGTAATTTGATCACCCTCAGAGGTGAGTCAGTCAATTGTAACCGACTCAAATTCTAGTTGAATCATTTTCAAGTGGACTAGGCCCCATGGTTCTTCCCCTTTAGGGTTTTCCATGTAAAAACTTTGTGTTCTCAGTATGTGAGCTGGATATCCGTACAAAGCTAAAGTACATTAAAACTCTAATCGCCGTCTGCCAGCACGCGGCAGCGCGCGGGGGCAGCGGGGCAGCAGCGCGGGCAGTGGGGTAGCGGGCAACAGACAAAGGGCGGGAATTTGAAATTTTTTAAATTAAACGGGTTGACCCGGCAACCCGCCGGGTCAACCCGAACCCGACCCGTTTTTTGAAACGGGTCGATTTCTGGAACCCGAACCCGACCCGTTTTGAAATCGGGTCGGGTTCAACCCGGATTTTCCGGGTCGGGTCCGGGTCGGGTTTTCGTGTCGTGTCAAATATTGACACCCCTAATCCCATGTATAGAATACACTACAAGTATGATATGTGGATACATAGCTAATACTAGGAAACAATATAAAGGGTTTTCTAGATGATATTTAGATATTTGGAAGGTTCTATTGATATTGGGTTGGCTTATAAGAGAGAAAATTAAGAAAGATAGCAAATAGTAGTATTTGTGGTATCTGATTATGCAGGAGCTCTAGAAAATATAAATTGGTGTCCTCTTATATCTTTTTAGTATATATCATTGTTGTATGTTTGAAAGTTTGAGTCGATAGAGTATATATTTTATATTTTAGTGTTGTACAAAGATTCAGACATATTGATGAAAATAGTAAGACCAGAGAATCTTTTACGTTGAAAACCCGAAAATGAAAAAAACTATGGACCTTGATCCAGTTGCAAAATTCACTGTGTGGTAAGCGATAGAAAGATCCTTCTTTCTTTACAGAGAAGACCGGAAGTTAGAAAAATTAAGCAGGCCTTCGCTGCTGGAGTCCGAGCAAGGCAATCAGATCATGGAGGCCAACAAGAGTGATAAGTCAAAGAGATTTGTTATTTGGGCTGTTACTAAAATTTTCCCTTAGTTCTCAATCTAATAACTCTATCTATTGCTAAATAGAACTCTCGTTTTGTTTTTTCTTTCAATTGTTTATAAATTTTCTTATTGGTATTTGCTAGTTATGATTACAAAGCCTGCTGTGAATAATGTTCTTGCAAACAAATTTATGTTAAATATTCAAAATAATAATAATAATAATAATAGTTTGTTTGAGATGGTTTCACCATTTTATTAAGGTGATTGCTTGGTTTTAAAAATCGGATTAGACCGCCCAGTTCAACTGGTTGAACCATGAACTGGTCGGCCAGCCAGTTTGATTAAGCCCTTAATAAGCTGATTTCACATCAGACCGGGCCAAAACTGCATGTTCGACTGTTGGAACCAACAAACCGTAAAATCGGTGATAGTTCTTAAGAGTCATGCGGTTCAAAAAGGCAGTGAGTTTGAGCCGTCAATTTTAGATCGAACAACCCTGAGTTTAGTTAGGAAAACTGGAAAATAACCTACATGTGCCCTTCGTTTCTCTCACGAGTCGTGTGTACTTTGTAGTCATGTTACTTTCCAGCTCGGCCTAGCTGTTGTCAGTGATTCTCGAACTCTACAATGACGAGCACACCTCTCCAACGCATCGCATTCTTCTCCGACATCATCGTGATTGTAAAGTTGCTTTAAGCAACTATTGTAGATATTAGAATATACATATATCTTTTTTGAAAAAATCTGATCATATAACAAGCACATATTAGCAAATTTGGTTGCAAAAAAACCCAAGGCTTTTAAAACCGGACCGGACCGGCCGGCCGGCCGGCCGGTTACGGTTCGAGATGCAACCGTTTTTGTAGAAAACCGGCTTTGAACCGCTCGAACCGGCGAACCGGCTCCGGTTTCGTTTAACCGGATGGTTCGCTAAAAAGGAAAACGGATGGCTGAGATTCCATCTTAGCGGACCGCGGGAGGTATACGAAGTCACGCAAGGCGAAAACACAAAAAAAAAAACCCTATTCGATCGCGGACCTCGCTCCGCCTCCACTTCATCTTCTCTGCCTCCGCTTCATCTTCTCCGCCTCCGGCATCTTCTTCTCCGGCTCCAGTGTCTTCTCTATTTCGAGAAGCAAAATCGCTTGATTGCTCGCAGCCCTCGCTCTCGTTTTCTTCTCTCTATCGCATTGGGGTCGCTAGGACGTGAATCCATTTGCGGTGAGTATGCGTTCACGTTTTAGTTCTGGAGTTTGCGGAATATTTGATGATATAGCCATATAGGTCACCATTTTTGTGCGGGATAGAGTAATAAGAATTTGAACATCAATTGGTCGTTCTTTTTGGTGTCGCTTTTTCTATGTGTATGATTTGTTCCTGCTTGTTTCGTCGTAATCTATGAATGTTCCTGCTTGTTTAGAGAATCGCATGTCAGTGGAGATGAACGTAGGCTAGTTAGTTTGAAGAGAGCACTTTTCCACCAAGGTATTCTAGGAAGGAAGCTGGTTATGATTCTAAAAGCTTTTTCTTATATCGTGGACACATGTGGAAGATTTTTATCCTTGTACGTAACAAGGCTTGTAAGTGGGAAGGATGAGGAATGTGAAGTTAGCCATATTCTTGTTATGCTTATTCTTGAACATTTAGGTAAAACGTGATTCCTTTGAATTATGAGAGAAAGTTCATATTCAAAACATGCAAACAGAGAACATGGTTGTTGAAATAGAAAAGATTACAAACAGAGTATAAATAATTTTGTCAATATTACAATATTTAAATATAATAAAGATTTATTACGTCATCCGGTTCGACTCCGATTCGACCCCGGTCTAACCATCGAACCGCTAACCTCTTCTTCTTCCGGTTCATTGACCGGTCCAGTTTTCAAAGCCTTGAAAAAACCTATATCCACTAAAAAATTTTAAAAAAATAATAAAAAATAGTTAAATAAAATTATGATTATAATTTGAAGGGAAAAATAAAAGCCTGCTCGAAAGAAATCCTAAATCTTCATGAAACTATTTTAGATATGTAGAATAAGGTTTTTTGTGAGTTATAAAAAAATAAAAAACATTAAAAAAATAAAAATAAAAATGTTTGAGTTCTAAATGTCTTGGTACTTAGTATTTATTAGAATTTATTCTTTATTCAATTTGCGATTTTATTATTCTGAACTGTACTTATCCATGCTCTTTAATGCTGGAAAGATATTGTCTCCTGCATTAACTTTGCTTGGCTTGGCTTTTGTATATCACTTCTGATATACAGTGAATTAAGCCGTTCGCTTATTTGTCTTCTTCCAAAGAGGTCCTGTCTTTTTCATTAACAAATTCAAATATTACTTTAAACTATATGAAATTACAAATTAGAGTAAATTATTTGTCTTCTGCTTATTTGCAGGAGTTTCTCCGGACCAACTCCGGATCACCGCCGGAGTTCCGTGAACCACCACTGCTCCAACAACGCCGGATTTCCACCGGACCACCACTGGACGCCCTGTGCTCCGCCGGACCACCACCTGACACCTTGTGCTCCACCGGACCACCGCCTAACGTCGTTGCTCCGCCGGACCACCATTGGACACCCAGTGCTCCACCGGACCACCACCTAACGTCGTTGCTCCGCCGGACCACCACCTGACGCCTTGTGCTCCGTTGGACCACCGCCTGACGCCGTTGCTCCGCCAGACCACCACCTGATGCCCTGTGCTCTTCTGGACCACCGCCTAAACGATGTTGCTCCGCCGGACCACCACTTGATGCCCTGTGCTTCGCCGGACCACCGCCTAATGCCGTT